AAAGATTAAATAAAATAAAGAAAACGAAAAGTTGCGAAAACAAAAAAGAAAAATACAATAAAGGAAAAAAAATAGAACAAGAATACCACAAACAAAATGAAGACAATAGAGTAAAAAAAAGACAAGGAAAATGAAGTCAGAAGATATTAAAAAAATAACAGTGCGGGGTGATTTTTGGACAATTTTGAAGACATTTGCCCCTCTCAAAGATCAGCTGTGGCGGGGAATGAGATTCTCGCCGTAGCGCTGAGGAATGTTCTCGTCTGCATTCCAAGACAAGAAGCGAAACAGTGTCGGTGTCATAGCAGTGTCAGTGTCAGGAAGGTGACAGTAGTGTCAAACCGATGAGTGGACAGGGTAATGACATGGCATGACGTAGAGAGAGAGAGAGAGAGAGAGAGAGAGAGAGAGAGAGAGAGAGAGAGAGAGAGAGAGAGAGAGAGAGAGAGAGAGAGAGAGAGAGAGAGAGAAAGAGAAAGAGAAAGAGAAGAAAGAGAGAGAGAGAGAGAGAGAGAGAGAGAGAGAGAGAGAGAGAGAGAGAGAGAGAGAGAGAGAGAGAAGAGAGAGAAGAGAGAGAGAGAGAGAGAGAGAGAGAGAGAGAGACAATAAACAAATAAAGAGACGGGCGAAGACACAGGGAGAGGAAGGACCCAGAGACCGAGAGGGACACGAGATAAGGGAAAACTACTGTAAAGGTGAAAACGAGCACACGACGGGCACAAAAGGTCACGCACGAAGCAAGGTCATGCTATAGTGGCAGAGGTCAGGGTCGCGGCAGATGATAAATAAGAATAAATATCAATAAGATATTACACATTATCATTCATTTAGGACATCATAACCAATCATCATTACCTTCGGACATCATATCATTTTGTGATCATGTTCAATTTTGGACATGATCACCAATCCAAATATTGTCATCAGTGTCATCAATTTCATATATTTTTATCAATACTAACCAATATCAATGTTGGCAAAATCAATAATAGGTAAAAAAAATTACCGTCAGTTAATAACAACAATAATAATAGTAGTAATAATATAAAGTAGTAATAAATTGATATAATGATGATGATGATAATAATAATAATAATAATAATAACAACAATAATACAAATTATAAAACAGAACAAGCCGACAATAAACAAGGAAAACTTCACTTGTAGGCCTATGTTGTAAATATTATGTAAACGGAATAACTAAACAGAAAATAGTAGGCGATAAAAAGAAAAAAAACGGAGATGAAAGGAGACTTGAAAGATCGAAAAGAAGAAAAAGAAACAGATGATGGAGGAAGGAGAGGAGACGACGAATGGAGGATGAAGAGAAAAGAATAGAACAGAGAGAAGAGGCGAGAAGAGAACAGAGAGGAAACGAGAGTGAAGGAAGGAGAGGAGAAGGGAAGGAGAGGAGAGGAAAAGAGAAGAAAGAAAATAGAAGGGAAAGAAAGGAGAAGGAAGCCCGATGAAAATGTGGAGAAGAAATGGAAGGGAAGGAAATGGAGGAGAGAAGAGAGGAGGAGGAGGAAAATGAGAAACGGGAAGGGAAGGAAAGGAAACGGAGAGGGGGCTAGAACAAAGAGAATAGGAAAGTCCACGGGAAGAGGAGAAGGGAGGAGAGTAGAAAGGAAGAACGGGAAGGACGATGGAATGGGGAACGAGAGGGAAACAGAGCCAAAAAAGTGCGAAAAAAGAAAACCGAATAATAGAGGACAAGAAAAACGTCGAGAAAAAGGAGACAGAAGAACGAAGACACAAGGAGAGGCAGGCAGGGAGGGGAAGGAGAGGGGAAAAGGGAGGGAGAGACAGAAGGAAAGAGAAGGAAGGAGGAGAGGGAGGGAAAGAGGGCAAGAATAGGAAGGAAAAAACAGAAGGAAAGGGAGGGAAGGAGGGGAAGGAAAGGGAAGAAGAGGGCAGGGAAGGGAGGTGGAGGGGAGGGGGGACCGCGCGACCTAGGAAAGGCCGTTTCGAGAAAAGTGATGATGTCAGAGAGAAAGCCGACGTGATTTGCCAAAATATCCGAGATGAGTGTGATGGCGAAGGTGTGCGTCCGCCGCCACGGACACTCGCCTCGATAATGGGGATGATTTATAGAGAGGGAGAGGGAGGAGAACGAGAGGGAAGGAGGAGAAGGGAGGAGAGAAGAAGGAGAAGGGAAAGGGAGGGGAGGGAGAGGGAGAGAGGGAGGAGGGGAAAGGAGAGGGAAAGAGGGAGAGAGGGAGAAGAGCGAGAGGGAGAGAGGGAGGAGGGGAAGGAAGGGAGGGAGAGGGAGAAGAGAGAGAGAAGGGGAGAAGGGAAAGGGAGAGAGAGGAAGGAGAGGAAGAAGAAGAAGGGGGAAGAGGAAATGGAAATGGAAAGGGAGAAAGAGTAGAAGAAAGGAGAGGGAGAGGAAGAGGAAGAACAGGGGGAAGGGAAAAGGAATGGGAAAGAGAAAGGGAGAGAGAGAGAGAGAGGAGAGAGGGAGGAGGGAGAGGGAGAGGGAGGGAGAGGGAGGGGGAGAGAGAGAGAGAGAGAGAAGAGAGAGAGAGAGGAGAAGAAGAGAGAAGAGAGAGAGAGAGAGAGAGAGAGAGAGAGAGAGAGAGAGAGAGAGAGAGGAGAGAGAGAGAGAGAGAGAGAGAGAGAGAGAGAGAGAGAGAGAGAGAGAGAGAGAGAAAGAGAGAGAGAGAGAGAGAGAGAAAGAGAGAGAGACAGAGAGAAAGAAGAACAAGAAGAAAGAGAGAGAGAGAGAGAGACAGAGAGAGAAGAAGAAGAAGAAGAAGAGAGAGAGAGAGAGAGAGAGAGAGAGAGAGAGAGAGAGAGAGAGAGAGAGAGAGAGAGAGAGAGAGAGAGAGAGAGAGTAAAAAACGACCCACAGCTTGAAAAATTCAAAAAAAAAAAAAGCAACAGAAAACGCGTCGCAAATGGTTGTCATGGCAACGGGACTCGAACGCGTGTCAACAACAAACGGAGATTCCAGTGGCTACTCCCCACCCCTCCCCTCCTCCCCCCTCCCTCCCCTCTACCCTGAGAGGGAGGGAAGGAGAGGAGGAGAAAACCTGTCTTCCATCTGCTTTATTCTCTTCAGCCTCTCTCTTCGCCTTGAGTGGACGGCGTCTCTGTTTCTCATGCTCTTAAGGGTGTGTTTGCCTGTCGTTTTTTGTTGTTATTTTATTTTTTGTCGGTTCTTTTCTTTTCAGTTTGTTGTTTGTTTCTCGTCATTTCCCGTTCGTTCTCCCTCATTTTCTGATTCAATTTCTGTCTGCTTGTCTGCTTGTGTCTTCATCTATCTGTCTGTCTCATATCATTCCTTTCTTCCTCCTCTCTTCTCATCCTCCCCCTTCCTCTTGCTCCCATCTCCTTTCCCTCCTTAATTCCCCCCCCCTCCTGCTCCCATCTCCCTCCCTCCTCCTGCCTCCTTCCTTCTCACCCCTCCACTCCCCTCATCCCTACCCCCCCCCCCACCCCTTTGGTCTACCCTCCTTTCGCTTTCACTTCGATTTCTTTTGACTTTAAATCTGAATATATTTTTCATTGCTTTTAACGTCTTTTCACAATATTCACACTATACTAATTCGAGAAATGTCTGCCTGTCTGTCTGTCCCTCTGTCAACCCGACTCAACGACGGTCTCTCGATGTTTGTCTGTCTGACTGTGTGACTGATCAATGAGTAACTATCGATCTCTGTCTGCTTGAGTGAAAAACTGTCAATCGGTGACTCAACACTGAGTAACTATCGATCTCTGACTGCCTGAGTGATTAACTGTCTATTGGTCAGCATGTCTGTTTTTGTGTACTTCCGGGCAGAACCCTTGTCAAATGAGCCTCGAATTCCGCCTCGAAGTCCCGCATAACGCATAACGCTTCACCCAAGATTCGTGTCCGGAGCTGTAGGCTATACCAGGTTCAAGCAACGTATGTTATTGGACAGGTGACCTATGGCTTTGACACGTGACCTATGGCTTTGTCAGGTGACCTACTTCATTATAAGGGGATCCGTATCAGGAGCAGATGACCTATACCAATGCCTGATGACTTATAACAGAGCCCCATTTCACTCTAAAGTGAACTACACTAATAACAAATGACCTACACCAGTGTGATCTATTTCAGTTCAGGTGACATAGGCCTACACTCGATCCAGCTGGTCTAGGAAACACGAAACGTTGCAAACGTTCCAGACGTTTCTCCGGGCAATACCTGGAAGTGCTTGCGTGTTCTTATCAAAATTAATATTATCATATATATCCTCAGTATTGTCATTATCATTATTGGTCTGCGGGGTTGCCACTGAAGTTTTTAAAACTTTGTTTACCCGAAAAAGAAAATCAACGGAATGTTTAGGAGTCATGGCATGTAACAGAAATTGCCCGAGTGAAGGGGACAAGAATAATAATAATTATTATTATGATAACAATAATAATAACAAACATCAATAATAATAATAATGATTATAATGATGATGATAGTAATAACAATAATAAAAAAATAATAATAATGATAATGATAATAATAATTATCATATACAATAATGATGATGACTATGTAGTAATAATAATAATAATAATAACAATAAAAATAATATTATGCTAATCATTTATTATTATAACAAATATGATAACAAAAATCCATTCTATAACAGAACAACCTAAACAAACAAACAAACAAACAAATGAATCGCCCACTCTCACTCCCATAACAAGGCAAGTTTTTTATACACACACACAGTACACAGGATGACTCACATTGACCATGAAAGTATATGATTTTGGCAGAGGTTCTGTTCCGAAGAGCTTTCATCCAACGCAACCCGGAGTAGGTGAAGGTCATTTCGGGTTGGGGAGGAACCACGGCGGGTTGGAGGTGGGCTTGGAGGTGGGTTGGGGTGGGTTAGAGGTGGGTTGGAGGTGGGCTGGGGTTGGGTTGGAGGTGGTTGGGGATGGGTTGGGGGGGGCGGATGTAAATGGAAGTGGGTTGAGGTGGGTGGTGGATTGAAGGTGGGCGGAGGTGGTTGAGGTGGGTTAGAGGTGGGGGATGTAGGTTGGAGGGGTTGAGGTAGGTGGTGGATTGAAGGTGGGCGGAGGTAGTTTGGAGGTGGGTGAGGTGGGCTGGATGTAGGTGGAAGTGGGTTGAGGTAGGTGGTGGGCTGGAGGTGGGTTGGAGGTGGGTTGGAGGTGGGGCGGATGTAAATGGAGGTGGGTTGAGGTAGGTGGTGGATTGAAGGTGGGGCGGAGGTAGATTGGAGGTGGGAGGTGGGCTGGATGTAGGTGGAAGTGGGTTGAGGTAGGTGGTGGATTGAGGTGGGGCGGAGGTGGGTTGGAGGGTAGATGGAGGTAGGATGGAGGTGGGGCTGAGGAAGGTGGAGGTGGATTGGTGGTGGGTTGAAGGTGGGATGGAGGTGGGATGGAGATAGGCTAGAAGTAGGCGGAGGTGGGCTGGTGTTGGGCTGAGGTAGACGACTAGTTGGGGTGGGCAAGAGTGGGACAGATACAAGCTGATTTGCACAAGACTGAGGCAAGGTGGAACGAAGAAAAAAAGAGTGGAAGGAAGTGAACAGATGCAGATGTGATGGATATAAGTGAGGAAAGGTGGGCAATGGTGGGTAAAGGTGGGCAATGGTGGGCAAAGATTGGTAAAGGTAGGTAAAGGTGGAGAAAGATTGGCAAAGGTAGGCAAATAGGTAAGACCGAGCTGAGGTGGCGAGAAATGGGCAGAGATGGGTAAGGTGGGCAAAGGTGGATCGAGATGGAACAAGGTGAACAGAAGCGGATAAGAATCGGCAAAGGTGGGCAGAGACAGCGGTCATCAGCCCACCTCATAAGAAACCCTGTTCTCGGAAACGCCTACAACCCCCCCCCCCCTCCCGGCCGCCGCTTCACTGCCTGGACGAGCCGCAGGGAACGCTTCACTTCCGAGGCCGCGGCTCTTCTCTCTCTCCTTCTCTTCGAATCTCTTCTCTTTCTCTTTCTCCCGACTCCCTTCCTTCTCTCTTTCTCCCTGACTCTTCTTCCTTCTCTCTCTCTTTCTCTTTCTCCCCGACTGCCTTCTTTCCTTCTCTCTTTCTCCCTGACTCCCTTCTCTCCTTCTCTCTCTCTTTCTCTTTCTCCCCGACTGCCTTCTTTCCTTCTCTTCTTTCTCCCCGACTCCCTTCTCTCTCCCTCTTTCTTTCTTATTTTTTCGTGAGATAATGAGAGTATGATGACTTTCACTTGCACTGTGGATTTTGGATAATTGTCGGATAGCATCATGATCGGAATGTTTTTTTTTTTCCCTCATGGATTACTAGAGCAATAAAAATGATAATAATTGAGATATACTTGTCTATAGCACATGCTTCACTTCGGTACCGGTGTAAGCTAGGTCACTCTTGTCTAAGTCACCTCGATATTCTGACACTGGTAAGGTCATTTCCAACAGCACAGGTCACCTGGCAATGGCTCCGGTCACCTGGCACTGGTATAGGTCACATGTCTTTTGAATGCAGGTTTTTAAACCACGAAGTTTCTTGCGAAAACTCGTTCCTCACTCAGCTGTATTATTCCAGCTCCCAGTTGATAGTACTTTGCTCGAGAACATCGTCACTCACACATCATATTCCCGCAACATGAGAATTCGCGGCGAGTGACATTGGATTCATCACCCGAATGATCATTTCGCGGAACATGTAGGCCTAAATGTCAATATTCGCAGAGGAATGCGGTTGTTTGGTGACGAGACAGATTGTTAGTGGTCGGGTGGCAAGCGTCGACCGTTTACCCCCGCCCACACAGCCACATTCACGGAGTCATTAACATACAGCCTTCTCTCCCCTCCTCTCTCTCTCTCTCTCATTACTCTCTAATTTTCCTTTTCTCTCTCTCTCTCTCTCTCTCTCTCTCTTTACTATCTAATTTTCCTTCTCTCTCTTTCTCTTTAATCTCTAATTTCCCTTTTATCTCTTCTCTCTCTTTACTCTCTAATTTTCCTTCTCTCTCTCACTTTATATTCATCCCCATCTCTATCTTATCTCCCCCTCTATTCTCCCTAACAGTTCCTTTTAACATTACCTGGCGTGGTGGCATTACCAGCCAAGCAATACATGCAACAACTCCACTATTTTTTTTCTCCAAATACCCGTAGGCCTATAAGCATTACTCCACCCCCGTTTCCCAATGAAGAAGGAAAGGCTACCTGAAACCTGAAAGTGAGAGGTACGAAGTGGGAAGATTTCTGAAATCGAGGTCTATGTCTATGAAGCGAGTGAATGTCCTCTTTTTTATATCATTAAGATTCCAAGAAATATATCAGTGAGTTTTCTTTTCTATTTTCTTCTACTAATATGATTCTAAAATGGTGATTATGTTTTTTTCCTACTATGATATTCTAAAGAGATGTCAGGGTAATTTTTTCCTACTGAAACATTTTATAAAATATGTCATTGCAGAGAAATACGTACTCGATGTATCTCTTTTCATGGTTAGATGATTTTTATAAAAAAACGAAGTCAGTGTATTCCTTATATCTAAAAATATATCTAAATCTAGTTCTAATCATATGTATTTGAAGAAAAAACAACAAAGACGAAACTCAATAAAAAAGACACAAATAAGAAACACGATCCTAGTAAAATAAAAGATAAAAAACACACAATCAAACGCAAAAAAACAGACAAAACAATTCGACCCAACTTCAACCAAAATTAGCAGAATAACGTTACGAAGCGCACGTAAGCCTTCCGCGGAATGCAGTCATCAACATCCTGCGGTTTTCGTAATGATATTCATCGTTGTAGCGAGAGCGCATCCGGATCTCCCCGATTCGTTTCGACGCGCACACCGACGAGGCATTAACGCATTAGTCACTCTCTCTCTCTCTCTCTCTCTCTCTCTCTCTCTCTTCTCTCCTCTCTCTCTCTCTCTCTCTCTCTCTCTCTCTCTCTCTCTCTCTCTCATATACATGCGTCAGTGCGTATATGTCTCTGTCTCTGGCTGCCGGTCTCCTGTTTGTCGGTGTCGCTGTCTGTCTGTCTGACTCTCTATTTCTTGCTCGTATCTTTCTTCTCTCTCTGTCTCTCTCTCTCACTCTGTTTCTTGTGTGTGTTGTGTGTGTGTGTGTGTGTGTGTGTGTGTGTGTGTGTGTGGTTGTGTGTGTGTGTTGTGTGGGTGTGTGTGTGTGTGTGTGTGTGTGTGTGTGTGTGTGTGTGTGTGTGTGTGTGTGTGTGTGTGTGTGTGTGTGTGTGTGTGTGTGTGTGTGTGTGTGTGTGTGTGCGTGCACGCTTCTCGCTTCTCTCCTCTCTTTTTCTCATCCTCTTTCCCTTCCCCATTTTCTATCTCCTTCCCTCTGTCGCGTATAAACACACAGACACTATGGTAATAATACGTCTTCCCTCCAACACTTTAGGCCTCCCCCCCCCCTCCTCCTTCCATCTCCTTTCCCTCCCCCTCCACCCCCTCTCTCTCCCTCTCCCCCCATTCCTTCCACCCCTCCCTCCCTCCCTCCCTCTCCCCTACCCTCCCTCCTCCAGGTGGTCACGTGGCTGTACTGATGACGTCACTGACATCGCAACCGAAATAATATGAGTATGAATGTTTAAAAAAATACTAGAGCACTCTCAACGCTATAAAAATAGTACCATTATTTTCGCAACATCTTAATAAATACACAATTTTTTCGCTAAACTTTACGACGGGCATGGGGAGAAGGGGATAAGGAAAGGGTTAAGGGAAAGAGGAAGAAAAAGAGAAAAAGAAAGAGGATGAGAGAAGCACAGAGGAAGAGAAAGAGAAAATGAAATAGGAAGATGGAGAAAGAGAAAGAGAAAGGAAGACAAATATAGACAGATAGAGACAGATATATAGATAGACAGACAGAGAGGAAGAAAAAGAGAAAGAGAGAAGACACATGAAAACGTCTGCAGCTCCAGGACGAAAACCAAAGTAAACAAACATTGATTTTAGTCAATAAACAAAAAGTAAACTTAAAAAATGAAAACTTCCTCGAATTTCCTTACAAACGTTAAATCTTTCGTCTTTTGACAACCCCTTTAATTTTCCACTTTATCACATAAAAACAAATAAACTGATTAATATCAATTAACGAACAAACTAAAATAAACAGTCAATAAGAAACTATTATATAAAAAATATAATAAAAATAGAAATAACAATGATGATGAAAACAACAATAATGATATTAGGAGTAATAGCTAATAGTAAAAATCATAATTATGATATAACAATGCCACCAATAATAACACCAATAGCAAAGATCAAAATAACAAAACAATAATAGCGATAAAAATGATATACTAAAAAGAATGACGATGATGGTAATAATAATAATAATAATAACAAAAAAAATAATAATAATAACAAAATCAATGACAACGCTAATAATATCAACAACAGCAATAGTGACAGAAATACCGATAAATAACGATAAAAATCACTATCAGAAACAATAATGCACTTCTTCTCATCCCGAAAAATAACCACATAGGCCTACTTCCGTCGCTCTTGTGCAGCTGGGAGAGAAACCTTACCATCTTCACTAATAAAATGATAGTGAAATAACAACACTAAAATGATAATGATGACAAAATGATAAAATAATGATAATAATGATAGGCAATGATAATACATTTACAGCAACAAAAAAGTAATAATACAAAATAATTGTGAAATATTAAGAAAATAATAATTATGATAAAAAACTACAACAATAATGAAGAAATAATAATAATAATGAAAAACAACGATGATGAATACAAAAAATAAAACATCAATAAAGAATATAATAAAAAAAAACTCAAAAATCCTCGCGCGAATATAGGAGAGAAATCGGAGACCAGTCCTTGTCCCCCTATCGTCATCTTCATCATCCTCTGCTTCTTCTATGTCATTCTTTCCCGTTTTCTCTTTTTCCTCCTCCCTTTTCTTCTTTGATTTCAGTGCTTGCGGTTGTTATGAAATGTTTTTATCTTTTGTTTTCTTTGCTTTTATTTTCTTGTCTCTTTTCTTCGTATTTCTTACTTTCTTCCCTCTCTTCCTGTCTCATCTCATCTTCCTTCCTTTCCTTCCATACTCTTCTCCCCACTTCCTCTTTCCTTCCCTCCCTCCCTTCTTCTCATCTCTCCCCATTCCCTTCTTTTCTCCTTTCCTTCCCTCCTTCCTTTTTTTCTTTCTTTTCTTCCATTTCTATCACCGATCCTCCTTCCTCCCTTCCTCCTTACCTTCCTTTCCTCTACCGCCGATCCTCCTTCCTCCCTACCTTCCTTTCCTCCTCCTCTCCTCTTCCCCTTACCTCCCTTTCCCTTTCTCCAGTAATCTACAGCATCTCCCTTCCTTGCTTACAACTCTCACCCTGTCACCGTTTCCCTGCCACCGCCCTGCCTCTTCCCCTGTCATGCTGCTCTCCCTTCAACCTGGCCGGCGCTTCCCTTCCCCTGTCACCCTTTCTACCCCTGTTATCCCTTTTATCTTTATGTCATCCTTTCTCCTCCCGCCTGTCATCCTTTCTACACCTCTCTGTCACCTTTTTTTCTAGCTTTGTTTATCACACTCTCTGCACCATTCTATTAATCTTTCTACACTTGTCTGACACCCTCTTTATCCTTGTCTGTTACCCTACTTTTTTAGCTTTGTTTGTCACACTTCCTGCATCATTTTATTACTTTTTCTACACCTGTTTATCACCCTTTTTAACCTTGTCTGTTAACTTTTTTATCTAGCTTTTTTGTCACACTTTCTGCACCATTCTACTGCCCTTTCTACACCTGCTAGTCACCCTTCCTGTCCCCGACTGCCATCCTTTCTAATCCTATCTGTCATCCTTTTTTAGCTCTGTCTGTTGCCATTCCTATCCTCGCGTCACCCTTTCGATACCCGACTGTTACCTTTCCTTCCCCTATGTGTCACCCTTTCTGCCCTTATCTTAGTCTGTCACCCTTTCTGACCTGCTACCTCCACCTATCCAATTAAGGCAGGGATGAAATCTACGGATATATCTTTCTTGCACCGGGAATAAATAGCACTTTCAGAACAGCCCTTTCAGAATTTCCCTTTCAGAAAGAGTACTTTCAGATTTCAGAAGAGTACTTTCACAGCTTTCAGACAGCCTTTCAGAAGAGTACTTTCAGAACAGCCCTTTCAGAAGAGTACTTTCAGAACAGTCCTTTCAGAAGAATACTTTCAGAACAGCAGCACTTCAGAACAGAAGAGTACTTCAGACAGCCCTTTCAGAAGAGTACTTCCAAAAGATACTTTCAGAAGCACTTCCAGAAGAGTACTTTCAGAGAGTACTTTCAGAACAGCCCTTTCAGAAGAGTACTTTTCAGAACAGCCCTTTCTTTCAGAAGAGTACTTTCAGAACAGCCTTTAAGAAGAACTTCAGAACAGCCCTTTCAGAAGAGATTTTTTCAGAACAGCCTT